AATTAGTAGCCAAAAAAATAGACAAACGCCTACTAAAACCTTTTTAGTCGCCTATTTACATGAATTTTAGCGACTAAATTTTTTTTTAGTCACCAATAACTAATATATGGCTACTAAAAAATTTTAGTAGCTAAAATACTAACTATTGGCGACCAAAAGGGAGATTAGTCGGTAAAGATCTGACTTTTGGCGACTAAAAAGGTTTTAGTCGCCAAATTTGGTCGCTGAAGGTGCAAATTGTTGTAGTGACGGTAGATGGATGTAACTTGATTTAAAGTATAAAAGGTTGACTGTTATGATTAAAAGTAAAAAAACTAAAATGAGATTTTGGTGAAAGTAAGATTGCCTATTACGATTAAAAGTGAACAGCCTAAAGCGAAGATTTGATAAAAGTGCAAGGGTCTTAAATGTAAATTATCCAAAATATAATTCAACTAATTACACTTTTCAAGGCATATGTCAATACAAACTAAGACAAATAAAATAAAAATAAATCAAAACTCACAAATGAAAGTAAAAATCTCCAAACTATTTATCATTTTGATAAATTTATTAGTATCATTAATAGTATTAAATAATCATTTTATAAACACAAAATAAAAAAAAAAAAATCAAAATTTTCTTATTATTCACCCTATATGGGAATATCATTTTCAGGTACAGGTAGCATGCCACCTCTGAGGACATAGCTTGGAAGGCTAGGGGCAGACATACTTTTGTTGCCATCTTTTTTTTTTTTTTTTGATGTATTACATGTAAATTCAAGCCAAGGGCTTAATGTGTAACCGAGTCAATACTCTCTTTTGTAACCAAGTGTTAACTTGGAAAGCTGTAAGCCCGTAGGGCATTTACTTTTGTTGTTAACGTGTAATACTTTTGTAATGAAGTACTCTGATGAATTGAGGAAACGTGGATCTTTTGTACATAAATCTATGTTTATATTGATTGATTTAATATTATTATTTTGAGGGCGTTACACGTACCGAGGTGGGTTTTCACAAATTGGGGACTTGAAATCGAAGAACTCCATGATTTGGAAACGCACCTGAATTGCAGCAGAGACTTAACGAGCAGTCTCAAAAGTATCTCGTCTTCCGGTTGGCACTGCGCTTTTCTGGGTCATCTCGATCCTCTCCTCGAGTTCTCCATGATTCGAAATGCTTTCGACCGCCATGGATAGTGGTGTTGTGCTTGTCAGGGCGTGTGTATTAGGGTTTTGAGATTCCTCTTAAAACTTCACAAAACAATTTTGAATATGAAAAATTAATTTTAAACTGCTTTGAGCTTTTGAAAATACGAAGTAAAATTGTATGGGCTTTGAAAATACTCCCAAGTTTTGTTTTATCAACTTATATCTTCAATAATTTGAGTCAAGAACAGGAATACCTGACATTTATAATTTCAATTCTCAAATGACATGATAAATATTAAACTTTACATGATTAAATTTGTAATTAAAAAAAAATTAACGCGTAATTTATTCAGAGAGAATTTGAGGACTTGAAATAAATAAATACCACATCTATACACAATTAATCAAACATCATATTCATCAACATAGTAATAATGATAATATTACAAGAATAAATTTCAAGTCTTCACATGAAATCTTATATAAAGTGCTCACAAATTTGTATAATATAATCCTACAATTAATTAGCCAAAAGAATCAATAACCTAAACAACTCAAAAGAACATTCACAAGAAATCAAATTGCCGCTTAGACCAACTCTACCACTACTGTTCTCTTCAAGTTTTCTTCATCATCAGGTGGTTCTTATTGCTCTTTCAGTTTCTTCATCAAGTGTTGGTTCAATTTCTTCATCAGGTGTTGGTTCCATCTTGTCTTGCTTCTTTCCAGTTTTAATTTCTTCATGTGGATCTTCTTTTTCGTCGTTGTCTTCCTCTTCTAGAAAATCACTGTAAGTGTAGAAACTTGCAACATAGTCAAAGATAAACAGATTGGCCATGCTCACCACCAATAATGCAATGTAAAAAAGATCCAAACGGCTCTGATTTACAGTGTCTACAATCCAACTTCCATCTTCAACTCTCAACTTCTCGACCACCACGTCTAATATCATAATAAACCCTATGTTCAGTATTTTTCCCCATCCGATCACAACTTCAATGAGTACGACTGCATATCTCTTCCTCATTGACTCTGGAACCTGATACTTGAAGAAATCCTCCATACCATCACGAGCTAATCCATCCATGATTCCCATCAGTACAAACTGTGGAGAGAGCCAAAATATAGATATTGGTGCAATGGCATTGGGATTACCTAACAAGCCGTGTTCTTTCAAAGATTTTAGCCTTTTATACTCCACCCACCAAGCAACTTTACAAGAAGCCAAAGCGGAAAGCATTCCCAAACCAACCTTCAATCTAGCTAAGTATCTCCCATTCATTCGCTCTATTCGTTGTTCAAATACTATCCTATACAAAGGTTTCACTGCAAATGTCGCAAATCCTGCCATAAGACCGAAGATTTGAATGGGGAGTTGAATTTGATGCTGCTTATTTTGTAATATGAAACGAAATGACATGTTCATTGCATATCCTTGCGCAATGAAAAAGGTATCATTGTTGGATTTGATCACCCCATACAAAATAAAGGTAACTGAGATTGAAACCATTCTTAACAGAAGCTTTGTCTCCTCAACCTCAACCACTGTGCAATTAATCCATCCAATGGGAAAGCAGTGGAAATTGTGTGGCACATTTATTGCAGCATTATTGAGCCACTTGCGCAAGAGTAAAAGATGTTAGAACTACACAAATTTTACACCAATATCATTTCCAACTTTATTTCAAAGATAATGCTATCATAATTTAGTACATTTTGTAAAATGTTTCAATCTTTTTTGAAACAAAAACAGATGCCAACCAAGTTTTGGTTTATAGTTTTTAAATTTCTATAAAGGTAACATAAAAATGTATACATAAACTTTATAATCATTGTGTACTCACCGACAGTGATCAGTGAGCGTTGTCCTTTTCTTGGGACCTTGAGGTGCCTTCTGGTTGTGACCTTGACCTTGAGGTGTCTGATTTTCATCCCCATAGTTAAATTTTGTACCCTGCTTAGTAGAGTCAAGATGCCTGTTTAAGAATGCAGCCAGAAGGACCCGCAACATGTTTGTGAGGGGACTTGTTCGCAGTTGAGGGGGGGAAGGAATGCGTATCCAATAAAAAATATAGCGATCCCAATTGCCATTACAGATGTAGATATCAAAAACTAATAAGACCAATCAGAAGCAAAAATTGAAGATACAAAAACCCATGTGATGCCACCTGCAATTCCAACTATGTTGCAGGTATTTCGAATAATATTTTTCTGACGTTTCCTTTTGTCTTGAATCTTTCTTCGGCAAACTTCAAACTTCAAGAAACCAAATTTGATTACCTTCGTTTCGGGTGGATCTCTTTTTGTATTTTATTTTACTAAAGGTGAGGGTTCTCAAACATATTCCCTGACCAGCCTTGGCAAGAACTATCAAAGCTAATCCCCAATAGAATGGTGAAGCAGTTAGCTTTGAAGAACATAATTTCTCCCCTGCTGGACATGACTTTACACCCTTGGAAAAGAACCGATCATGAACTGACATTACTAGCAACCCCAGTCCCTACATCAAATCGTCTCCTATTCATTAGTGAGAGACAAATTTGAAAAATATTTTAAATTAATTTGGACCAGCTTTGATGTAAGATAAGTGTGTATGCACCTTGACTCTAATTTTGATGCTAGATTTGAGTGGTTTCTAACTAAAGAATCACTGTGGGTGGTTTGGCCACCCTAGGTTAGTGGTTAACATAGTCTGAAGAAATGGTCAAGGTGTTTGATCAAAGATTTAATTGCATTTCAGATAAAAAAATTAAGAAAGTTAGGTTTACATTGTATTGTTCCAAGCAAGGTTTTAAAAAGCGCCCGCAACCATTACATAACGTTGTGGTAGTTACCGACACCCGTTACGGCTGCTTTTGCAATGTGATTAAGATTCACTGGTGTGTCAGCCGTAGCGGTCGTAACGGTACCGTAACGGCCATAACTGTCTGTTACGCACCGTTATGTAATGGTTTCGAACTGTTTCAGCTGTTATCACTCAACCATTTTGTTTGTGTGTGTCTATCTATATATTGTTTGAAAATAATAATAAGTGTGGTCATTATCTATTTGGCTTGATTAAATACATATATATATATTTAGGCTCTTATTTATTCTCTTACTTTTGTTGTTGTTTATCTTGTATATAATAGTTAGTGATTGATTTTTTTTTTTTAAATATCTAGAAAACATTATACCTGTAATTATATATTAATGCATATTTTATACATGTTAATTTTTTTATTAGTTTATTTTATTTTTATTTGCAGGTTATCCAAAAAGAGAATGAATATTCAAGTGATCCAAACCCCCTCCCCCCAAAAAAAAATCTGTACAATTTATTTTTTATTTTTTATATGATTACATTGGCATGTATAATTTATTTTTTAAAACTATTCAAATTAAAATTTTCATATGCTTCAACAAGTATAATAATTAAAAAAAATAATTTTATACATCTGAGTCCAATAATTTTTTTTTTAATAAAGTCATTAATTACTAAAATAAAATGTAAAAAACTCAGTTTATAGCGATTTAAAAATATGAAATATATTGGATTATACTTACAAATTTACAAAAATTGATCAATATTTATTTTAAAACTCAATAAATATGATTATGAAAAAAATATATGTGTATCGGTAAGTTTTTTTTTCAAATTGTGCAAAAAATAAAAAAAATTACAGTTCTGGTTATCACAATCGTTACGCTACGGCCTTTACATCCCGCAACCGCATAATTATTAAAATAAAATATAAAAAACTCAGTTTATAGTGATTTAAAAATATGAAATATATTGGATTATACTTACAAATTTACAAAAATTGATCAATATTTATTTTAAAACCCAATAAATATGATTATGAAAAAAAAATATGCGTATCGGTAAGTTTTTTTTTTCAAATTGCGCAAAAAATAAAAAAATTTATGGTTCTGGTTATCACAATCGTTACACTACGGCCTTTACATCCCGCAACCGTGCCACCGCCACTGTTACGGCGACCGCAACCGCTTTTCAGAACCTTGGTTCCAAGAGTTGAGTTCTTGAGTTAAATTTGATTCATTGGCACATTTGAAGTATTTAAGTAAGAAAGGGTTATTGTTTACATGCATCATTTATATAAATACACCAATTGAAAAGCCATGAAATATTAAATTTCATTCATTGATGCTCCAATTTTTATTTTTTCTTTTTTTCTGGCCTGATGTAAGAGCTTTGGCTTCGCACTTGGAAGTACACCAAAGACCATGACTAAATCTGTCTGATAAAGCAAGTGAAAATGTACAAAGGGCTTCTAGAAAGGCTAAATTATGAATTGTTTTATTCTATTGGTGAGAATCAATTAAGAAGTATAATTCCCTATGAAAAATGCAAGGAAAGACCCAATTCCAGCCTATCAACCTTAGCAAATGCATGAGTAGTCTAGTTTAGTTTTTGTTGTCGATTCCCAGTCAGAACAGAGTAGTTTATCTATATCTTCACTAGTACTACTACTACTACTACTACTACTACTACTAGCAAATTAGCAGTGCTATGCCACAAATGAAAGGGGTGTGTAGAATTCCGGTGACTTACAATGCTGTAAAGAACACTTGTGATGAGCAACATCCCAGCATGGCCAAGATAAGCATCTATGAGAGCAGCCTCCACTAACCCCATGATGCCTGCCGCTTCACCTTTAATGTTCATGATTGAAACAGCATGCTTGAGGTTTAACTGCCAAATGTCAGTCACGAAGGCAACTAAGTTATCCAAGACATACACGGCCATACTGTTGCTGTAAATCAGAGCTGCAATATAGACATTTTGGTTTTTAGCACAAAGATTCAGATCTTATTTTATAATAACATGAAGTGTTAAATATTCAATTCAATCTGATTACATTGACAAAGTATGGAAACGACATAATTTCCCTTTTCTAGGTTAAAACCAACATAGAAAAATCTAGGGAAGTTATTATCAAATGTACTTTTACTTACAGCATAATTTGAGAAACGTATAACAGGTAGGCAACCAACCTTGTACGTTGAAATAAAATAGTTTTGGATAAATTACACAGACCTTCCTTGATAATTGGCAAAACTACATTTGAATAATTTGACATACACCACCATCATCAACCAATTTTTCCCCCATCCCTCCACACCCCATCACATCTCCACTAGCCTCACCCCCAACACCTGCCTTCCCACCATGATTACACCGCCCACCAAACCACAGCATCGCCACCACAACAATTATCATCTCCCTTCACTCTGTCAATCCACTTCCGCCACCGCTACCACCACCACCACCAAATTACCCAACCACCACTATCATCCAAATCCAACAACAAATCACTACCAAAACTAACCCACCCATCACCTCTAAAATCAACCCCTTGGATCGTCACCTGAAGCCCCACCTTCTCTGCCCATCGTTGTTTGAAACCCACCATATCCCAACGATTGAGTTCACGGACCTGCAGGGGTGGCGACGACGTAGAGAGGAGCTATGGCAGCCGAAGAAAGGAAGAGGGGACTGCATGTTACGGGTCGGGTCAGGGCTTCGATTGGTTCAGTGTGGATGGGTTTGTCGAGGATAAGAATAAGATGGGAATTACAAATTTGGTGGCTTGCTTGATTTTGTAATTGTGTGGAATTAGTTAGGAATTGGAATAACTAGTTCACAAAAATAATAATAATAATAAATAAATAAATAAATAAAGTTAGGAATAGGAATAAGGTGTTCCAACAAAGAATAAGAAGGGTAATTTTAAAATTCAGGTGAAGAATAGATGACCCTCTCTAGAATTATTTATCACAAGTGATATAAGATAAAATTTAAAGAGTGATTGTACAATTTTATTTTTTATTTTTTTTAACAGCACAGTAGGTTAGTAGCAACTTGAATCAAATATGAAATAAAATTTTAATATTACTAATGTCTTTTTATAGTCACTTGAATTACATGTTTTGATTGATTGCTTACTTCAATTGAAAATATGAATTGAATAAATTTTTTATATAAAGACAGTCTTAAATATAATATTGAAATAGATAATGACGGATTTCACTACGTCAAAATTGGGCTTTAGCGGCGGTTTTTTACCGCCGTTAAAGGTTGTAAAACCGCCGTTAAAGCCTTTAACGGCAGTTTCGTTACCGCCGTTTATGCGTGTGTCGGAAAAAGTGAAACCGTCGTAAAAAGGAAAATTACCGTCGTTAAAAGTCGACCAAAAACGGCGGTTTTTTACCGCCGTAAATAGGTTCAAATTTTTCAAAAAATAATTCTTTCTTCTTGCACTCCCCAAGTTTTGTACCCAAGACCTCTCATCCACCAACACCAACCACTCTGCCATAGCCACTCTTCATGAAATATATTCCCTAAATAAATATTTAAACATTACTTTTACTTTATTGTAGATGGTTTCGCCGGAGCTCGCCGGAGTTTCGCCGGAGCTCCGCCGGCAAAGACCGCCGTCATTAACGGCGGTAATGATTGGGCATTAGCGGCGGTTTCGTTACCACCGTTAAAAGTGGGTTTCATTACCGTCGTTAAAGACACTTTTAGTGGCGGTTTTTTAACAGCGGTAACGAAACCGCCGTTAATGATACATTAACGGCGGTATTAACGGTTATAGCGATCCTGGGTTTACCCTTGTTGTACAGAGATCCGGACAGGTGTCCGTGGATGTTAGTAGTTGTTTATTATCTTGTTTACATCCTTTTTACTTCGTGTTTGAGTTATAGGATGTGTTGGGCGGATTTGTTTCAGGTTGGTTGAGTTTAGAAACCACAACTAGTTGCCCAGATTTTTGGCCTGTCCGCTCGAGCGGAGGTGTTGGCGCTCGAGCGGAGATTACACCCATTCAGTATTTTTCCTGTGCAGCGTTGTACGCTCGAGCGTGGGATTGGCCGCTCGAGCGGAGGCCTGGTTCTGCAAAAGTGCTGGGCGAGTGCATTCTGCGCTCGAGCGGGAGGTTGGCCGCTGTACGCTCGAGCGTAGGGTTGGGAGCTCGAGCGTAGGTCTGGTTCTACAAAAGTGCTGAGCGTGTGCATTCTGCGCTCGAGCGGGGGGTTGGCCGCTCGAGCGGAAGTCTGTGAGTGGACGCTCGAGCGGGGTGTTTTACGCTCGAGCGGAGACCTGGGTTAAAGTCCCGAATTTGTGACTCTTCAAATCACTTTTTCACTTTCTCTTCTCTCTCCTACTTTTCCAAAAACACCATTGTTGAGTCTCTCTCTCTAGATACTACCTTCTCTCTAGGTTTTGATCTAGTAGGAGTGGTTTGCTCACCTTTGGCCTTTACAAAAAAGTTGTTGATCGTCGAGGGCTACATTTTAATCTGAAAATCTCGGATTTTGGAGCACGTTGGGTTTTGTCACCTTCTCCTTTGGGACTCCGAATTTGAGGTAGGAATATCCTACTCCTCTCTATGGATTTTGTCTTTAAATTTTGGTATTTTGAGATGTTGGGCTTGGTTTGGTAATTTTGTGAAAGTTTGGGGCTTTTGTGTAATTTTACAAAAGTTGGGGTTTTATTCATAATAAACCTAGATGCATGTTTGGCATGGAGAAATGGAATTGATGTTGAATCATTGATGAAAGTGGGACCTAAGGGTTGAAATGGTAATTATGGAAAATGGCCTAATTACATTGTTTAATTAATTGAGATAATTAATTGTGAGAAATGAGGAATGAAATGTTGATTGAATATCCGTTGTGCATTTATTTTCTGTTTAGAAATAACTGCTATGGGCTATCGGTGGAGGATAGTCGTGATTGTTGTAGACAATGCATGTTGATTAGGCAAACTGAAACTAATCAATGAAGTAAGTCATGGAACTTGACGGTTGATTGAATACATTAACTATATGTATTGAGTGATTGTATATAGGACCATTGTGTTTGTATACGTTATGTGTAGAGGAGGAGAAAGGGGATGTACTCCGCGGTTTAGGGGAAGATAGGGGATGCACCTCTAAACTGGATAGTGTTGGGAGAAGATAGGGGATGAACTCCGTAGATACAGCTCATATGCTTGTCTAGAAGTGAAGATAGAGCTTATATGCTTATCTTTGTGATGTGTGGATATAGCTTTTATGCTTATCCGTGGATATTGTTATTATACATATCTGTTGTAGAATGTGGATATAGCTTATTTGCTTATCTGAGAATGTGGATATTGTTGTTATACATATCTGTTGAACATGTGGGTAGTGCTTATATGCCTATATGTTGAAAAAGGGAAAATGATAAGTAATTGGGACTTGTAAGTCGTTTGACATAAATATGTGATTTATGTGATTGTATCAGTGTTGGCCATCTATCAATTGCTAATATTTTAGTCATTGTTCATGGTTGGTTTAGTGTATTTCTACTGGGCTGTGGCTCACCCTATATGGGAATATCATTTTCAGGTGCAGGAAGCATGCCACCTCCAAGGACATAGCTGGGAGGCTAGTGGCGGACATACTTTTGTCGCTTAACTTTTGATGTATTACATGTAACTTCAAGCCAAGGGCTTAATGTGTAAACGAGTTAGTACTCTTTTGTTGTAACCAAGTGTTAACTTGGAAAGCTGTAAGCCCGTAGGGCATTTTGTTTTGATGTTAACATGTAATACTTATGTAATGGAACTCTAATGAATAAAAGAATGTGGTTAGTTTATATGTAAATGCATGTCTTATTTGATGGGTTTAATGTTATTATTTGAGGGCGTTACATTTTTTATACTTGTTCTTAATGCATTAAGATGTTATTATGAGGAATAATAATCATATGTGTTGGGACTTTTCAAGGAATTCATGTGTTGGATTTCAAAGAATTTTTTTTTATGCTCGTTTTTAATACATTAAAGTGTTATTATGAGGGTAAGACTTGGAGATTGGGAGAAGTTAATAAATGCTAAGGTTTTTTTTTTAAATCAAAAAATCAAGAAATTTAGATTGGGAGATTAGAGCTCCCACAAGGTTTCGAGTTAAAACTCCCATTTTGCTTAATATATAGTATAGATAGCATATCACCCGTGCTATGCACGGGGCAATTATAGATAATTATCTTTATTTTAGATTTTTTTTAATATATAAATTATGTGTTTTTATGATTTTTTATAAAAATAATTTAACAATCTTATCACTAACCATAGTGTATGAGAGAAGTTGAAAAGGATACTGCAGTAACTATACACTGATTGTATCTATAATTATTTGTATGAGGGGATTTTAAATGCTAATCAGGGGATTTTGACCAAGTCAATAAATGCTGAGTTTTTTTTTTAATAAAAAATTTAGAAAATTCATATTGGGATATTGAAACTCCCACAGGCCTTGGGGTTAAAAATCCCCTTTTGCTTAATATATAGTATAGATATAGATAGATGTGTTGGACTTTTCAAGAAATTTTTTTTATGCTTGTTCTTAATGCATTAAAGTGTTATATGAGGGATAATAATCATATGTGTTGAGACTTTTCAAGAAATTTATATGTGTTGGATTTCAAAGAATTTTTTTTATGCTTGTTCTTAATGCATTAAAGTGTTATTATGAGAGTAAGACTTGGGAATTGGAAGAAGTTAATAAATGCTAAGATTTTTTTTTAAAATAAAAAAATCAAGAAATTTAGATTGGGTGATTGGAGTTCTCACAAGGCTTGGGGTTAAAAATCTCACTTTGCTTAATATATAGTATAGATAGATTGATAGATATATCTTTTTATTTTTATTTTTATTTTTGTGTGGTTTCTATTCGGGTATTTTTTTTTCAATTTATTTAAGATGGGGTTGTGGGCATCTTTTTTTAAAAATTTTAATTTATCTGTGATTTTCATTTGTTTTTAATTATTATTATTTAGGTAAGTTATGATGTGAGTTAGATATGTGATAGAAACGTGAGTTTTATTGATTTAAAATTTATTAATAAACTTTAAAGGTTGTTTTTTTTAGTTTTTTTAGTTTTTTTTGTTATGTTATAATATAATATATAAAATATAGGTAGATATCTACAACTTTAACAAAAAATATTATCTGATTTTTTGGGGAAGAGAAAAGGAATGCAAGTTTTAATATTTTTTTTGAAAATTTGTGAGAGAGATTAGTTGGAAGATATTATCATATATCTATATATATTTTTGTTATTAAATAAATAAATCAGTCAATAGTTTTTTTTAATCTATTTTGTAAATTAAAAATCAATAATTTTGGAAAATTGATTAATTTTTTCCATTAAGTGAATTAAAATTTTGATAGATATACATAAAAAAAATACATAATTATAGATCTGTATCATAATTCAAATTTAGATGTTATATCTTTTTGAGATTTATAGCTACATTCTTATCTTTTTTTATTTTTATTTTTGTGTGTAACCATAGTGTATGGGAGAAATTGAAAAGGGTGTTGCAATAATTATGAGAGAGTCAAAAGGGATTGTGGGTTAGGAGAAGTCAATAAATGCTGAGG